ATCAGTTTTAAGTGTGCCTGCTAGGGAAAAGGAGTAGCAGGGTCCTGACACTGAGAAAGCCTCTTTTCCTCAATTCCAAGCCATCTCCATGCACAAGCATTCTCTTAATATATGAAACACAGTGTACTGTAGAACTTGGGGGCTTTAACATGAGTTTGAAATATTTGTAAACTCGCAGCTTCTTTCATTGTGAATTCCTTCAAACAGGATGGAATAAAATCTCCTTTGAGTGTCTGACTGGCAAACACTGCAGTCAGACAGAGTCAGATGTTTTAAACAACATTCTGCAGGTCGAGAGATGTGATTCTCACCCTCTACTCCCCTCTCGTGAGACCCCACCTTCAGTACTGCATCCAGCTCTGGAGTCCTCAACACAAGAGGGACATGGACATGTTGGAGCGAGTCCGGAAGAGGCCACGGAGATGCTCAGAGGGCTGAAGCACCTCTGCTATGGAGACAGTCTGAGAGAGCTGGGCTTGTTCAGCCTGGAGAAGAGCTCGGGAGACCTTAGAGCAACTTCCAGTGCCTGAAGGGGATGACAAGAAAGCTGGAGAGGGACTTCGTACGAGGACATGTAGTGACAGGACAAGGGGGAATGGCTTGAAACTGACAGAGGGGAGATTAGATGAGATCTTAGGAAGAACTTCCTCACTATGAGGATGGTGAGGCACTGGCACAGGGTGCCCAGAGAAGCTGTGGCTGCCCCATTGCTGGCAGTGTTCAAGGCCAGGTTGGACACAGGGGCATGGAGCAACCTGGTCTAGTAAAAGGTGTCCCTGCCTGTGGCAGTGGTGTTGGAACTACATGAGTTTTAAGGTCCCCTCCAGCCCCAAACATTCTGATTCTGTGAATTTAATAGCTGCTGTAAACCACTTTCCACAACGCAACTACCTCCCTGCAAGCACATTCTTGCAATCATAGAATGGTTTGGGTTGGACGGCAATAGGTGGAATGGAAAAAACTAGTCCATTTGCTGTGACCTTAATCACGTGAAAACAGTCTTTAATTAAATCTCTCCCTGGCTGTCCCATCTGAGCATGCGTGTCAGCCTGTTTCATAACTTCTGCATGATGCTGCTGAGAGCAACTATCACTTCTGGCAGCTGGCTTGTACTGTTAATGCTGTATATGCTGCTTGTACTCCAACTCCATCAACTGTTCCAGAAATATATGGTGTTTTAATGGTTCCTGGTCACTCACAAACACTCTCTGGATTCTTATTTTGTGAACGTGCCAGGAAGGAGAACATTTGCCTGCAAGTGAAGAGCCTGAGATACTTAGTGTAGTTGGGAATCTGAGTGTGACCTGTGACACAGAGTAAAGCAAGTCTCTTGGGTCTAGTAAGTTTATCCAAACCCAGTAATAGCTTGAGTGACTTTATTAATGATAACATTGAACATCTTGTTTAAAGTCTTTGCTGGCAATTAGCGAGACCAAAGAAAGGGACAGGGAGTGGATGCACGTAAAAAACAATTTTCTGTAAAATAAATATACAGATGACCTCAGCTGCAGAGAAGAGATTATCTGTTGTGGCTTATGTATGTGATGTCTCCTGTGAGTCAAGAAACTGGTGTTTAGCTTGGAGTCCAACCCCAAATTCTTCACCATAAACACTGGGCAAGCACTCATCAAGCTTCCTGAAGGGACAAACCTCACTAATCCACACGCTTTATAGCTCATTCAAAGCAGCAAACACAAAGCTGGAGGGAGGAAGGGGAAAAACTGATTGATTATCTTGGAGTGGCTCTGGATAAAAATGCTGAAGTGGGTCAGGTGCCTACCACCCACTGGTTTTCTCTGCACTTCACAGATGCCTACATTGCTTGTGAAATTTGGGGTTTGGCAAGTGTTTTTGTGAATTTTGTATGCATGAAGGAATAAAGAAAGTGAACAAGTTGTAAAAATAAAGAATTGAGTTACATTTTACCATAAACGTCTTTATTTTTGTTATTGGAATTGTGTACTTTGTCATAAAAGGTATCGATCTAGCAAAACACTTGAACGTGAGTCAGTCACTGAAGCTAGCAGGATTACTCGTGTCGTGAGAATTAAGCACAAATGTGAATGACAGAGATTAGGTGCTACTGCATATAGTCAATTCATTTGTGATAGGTTTTCCAAGAACTCTAAAATAGTCTAAAATAAGCAAGACCACAGTGTGTTTCCATGGGAAGTTGGCACACTTGGACCATAAGCACTTTTGACACTCTTTGCCTGGAGTCACAATGAACACCATGGGCTTCAGAGGAGCTGGTTTCTCATTGTGTGAGATCTGCTCCTCTTAGGAAATACAGCTGTGAAATCTAGACCTGTGCTTTTTTGCAATGATTAGAGTAGCAGATTTTCAGATCTTAGCCTTACAGAAACAGCTTTAGGAGGAAGGTAGCAATTGAAGCAATACGGTTTTGATAATGCTAGAGAAAATTCATTTAAGAAAATCGTAAGGCATTATCCTGCAGTAGATCTGACCACCACTGACCAGATCTAATCTCAGTTTAGGTCTTAATGCAGTCAGTAGGATTTATTATAATGGATTAACACTTTTATAAAAGGCATACACAAGTCAAGTATTGCAAAATTAATTCCCCATACAAAGTATACGAATAATGCACTGTAAACAACTGCTGCTCATAGGTGCTTCAGTTTCCACGCTTTAATAGTCGCTTGTCATCTTTGGTTAATGCAAGATTTTTTCTGTCCTCAAGAGATCCACTAAAACAGCTGAACTTTTATAAACTGAGTCCTTGCTTATTACCCAATTCCATATACTTTGAAGAAAAAATGTTTTGTTCAACCAGTTCAATGTGCAAACCAAAACAACCAAGTGAACTGCATTTTATATGTTGCTAACAGATAAAGAGGTGTATATGTGTATATATATCTATGTGTACATACATCTATACCCATGTATGTGAACACCCTGCCCCCCACCTCTGCCTCATGGAGCACCTAGGCTAATAGATGCAATGAGCATCTGCCGTAAGGCCATCCAACAGGAATGCATGCCGGCATCTGGGGGCTACTGAAACACACACAGACACCTACAATTATGGATTTCTAAAGTGAGCACAGGAATTGTTTTGATCATGACCAAATATGACCCTGTAGAAAGAAAGAATGTCCCATGACTCTTCCATAAACAGAATCAGTTGCACAGGCATGGTCACTTCACTCTGAACATGTCCTGTTCCTCCCTGTGCTGCTGCAACTGTGGTCTCAATGTTCCTGCCTTAAGCATCAGTACCTGCTTTATTACACAGCAGTGTAATCTGAAAATCCACTGGCTGGTCTGAAAAGCAGTTTCTGATGTGAAGAAGGTCACTTAAATCCACTCTCTGACTGCAGGTTTGGAAACTAGTTCAAAATATCCAGAAACTGAATGCTGTTACAAATTGCTCTAAATATTAATGAAAGATTCAAGGTGGACTTAGAGAGAAGTGGAAGGTGTGGGTTTCTTAGGAAAAGATGAAGGAATTAATCATCCTTTCTGCATCCCAGAGAACATTCTCCAGTACCATTCTAATTAGTACCATATTAAAACTCTTAATAAATCATAAGTTAAGATACCCAATGCATCATCTAGATTCTTGTGTCTGGAAGGGCAGGGCTTCTCCTGACTACATTCTGTAGTGTTTTGTTTATAAATGTCTCCATGACCTCCACAGGGAGCGTATTGCACAGGTTCATGGCTAGAAAGCTTTTCCTGATTACATTTGGCTCTGTGCCCCTTACTTACATTATTTTCATTTCTAGCTATTTAGCTATAGATATCTATCTATCTGTAACTTCTTCTGTTATCACAACTGGTAGGATGATTTTTTCTAGTTTCTTGCTACCCGTGAAGGAGAGAAATGAACAAATGTGAGGAACAGTGTACTTGTCAACAATGTGCTACAGCAAGGATCTGGTTCTCAATAGTAACATTTCATGCCATTTCAGGGGTGCAACCATGGCACAGTAATAGTCATTTTCTCACAGTGGACTTACCTAATTTGTGGCTTGGCAGAAAATTCCATACTTCAGTCCTTCAAGCAAAGAACTGAAATTTAGGCATGCATCAAAACAGGTTTAATTCTTTAAAGTTGCTGAGCAAGCACTGTTCGCATGGACTTCATTAGGACAGCCAGGCCACCTGTACGCAGTTATGTATGGATTCTACAATCTATTTTAACCTTTAGTACTGGCACATTTGACCAGTGTCCTTTACCTTCTCTATAGTCAACTGAAAACTGAAAGACTTGGCCACGTTCCAGACAAGAGCTCCATATGTATTCCCTTGTTGAGCAGCCTCAGTTACGTTATTGTATTTTTAATACCCTGTGGAGTCCTGGCAGCACCCTAAACCCCCTCTGAGTATTGGAGAAACTGCACACCTCAGCTTGTGCAGTTCCCCTGTACTCATCCTGAACTCATCCTGAGCTCTGATTGACCACCAACCCTATCTGACCTGGATGAGACAGCATTAGGGTTGTCTTGGGGCTGTGGGCTGTTCTGGCTGTCATGCACCAGGGTTATCTGGATGGATGAGATGCGTGGAGCGGGCCAGGCCTTTCACAGCACACAGGATCCACTGCCAGGATCCATCCAGAGGGAGATTTCTATCCGTACAGAGTAGCCTGGTGTTTCTTTCTAAAGTAGTCCAGTTGGGCTGCCCCAAGCCCATCCCTGACAGTTCTCCAGCAGCTGAGTGAGGTGGTAGTAACTCAGGTGCACTTGTAGCCAGTGAATCAGTGCTGTCTAGAGTGATAGCAGACAATAAATATTCCACCCTTTGCCAAGTCCTGCAGAGTCCTGTAGACACAGGATGAAGATTCATCACTACTGAATCAATAAAACTATACTTTGGACCAGCCAGTCTCTCTTCAGCTTTCTCTTAAATATCTTAATATAAACCAAGCATAATATATAATAAACAGAAAAAAATAGGACAGACTCTCTCACAAAAAATTACACGTTCACAAAATAATTACACCAGTTTCTTGTTAATCACTGAATCTGTGTTTATAATTTGGTCAGGTCATCCTGTAACCAGTCTGTAATCATGGCAGCCATCTCCTTGCTGGCATCCAGCACAAAGGCGTGGCGGAGCCCTTTCTCACAAAGGCGAATGTCCCCGTCTGGAAAATCCATTTTGATCTCATCGTAGTAGTGCTGTGGACACCAGCTGTCTCCAGTTCCATAGTAGAAAATCAGCTAGAAATCAAAGCATACCAAACCATTAATTTGAAACATTACTGATGAAGAAACCAATATCCAACCAAACAGCCCTGAATTATTTTGAAATAAGCAATGCTTCATGACCCAAGATATACTGTGAGGAATACCAAATTAGTAGTTCTTGATTGCTTCCAAGTCTGCAATTACGATGAAGGCAATTAAATACTCTGTGACTCACTTTCCTCCTTTGTAGAACTGTGGAACACAATACAGTTTTAACTCTGAAAACAGAGATCTGCTGATGAAAGTCTGGCTGTCTTAAGAAATTTGTTATTATGGATAAAAACATCTAGTTGTCCATGGAGTCCACCCCTAACCAGGCAAACTGCTGTGTTTGCCCTAGCTGTTGTCTATTTTCTGTGGTCGCTTTCTAGCTATTTAATCGAACAGCAAAATTACTAGTAAACTCGATGTTATGTCCCAGCTGAAGGAGCTAACCTTTATGCCTTTCTTCCAGATAGTAACTAAGAGAAAGCAGGAGGTTACTCTACATGTGTGAATAGCTCAGTCTTAATGGCATCTGTTAGGCGTTATCTCGAACCACCTGCCTGGTTGGGGCCTTAGGTGGAGGAGCAGCTATTGTTCTTAACCTCAGTATTAGATGTAAACTAGTGGTGATCCACTCAGCTATGTTAGAATAACAGCAATTATGGTCATTCTCAGAAGCAAAATTTTTTTTGCTTGGCTAATTTTATAATCATAGAATGGTTTGGGCCAGAAGGGACCTTTAAAAGTCATCTGGCCCAACCCCCCTGCAATAAGCAGGGACATCTTCAGCTAGATCAAGTTGTTGAGAGCTGGTCCAACCTGACCTTGAATGTTTCCAGGGATAGAGCATCTACCACTTCTCTGGCACCACCCACATCTCTGTTTCATCAACCTCATTGTAAAAATATTCTTCCCGATATCTAGTCTGATTCTACCCTCTTTTAGTTTAAAACCATTCGCCCTTGTCCTATCACAACCTGTCTTATTAAACGTTTCTCCCCATCTTTCTTACAAGCCCCTTTTAAGCATTGAAGGGCTGCAGTAACGTCTCCCCAGAGCCTTCTCCAGGCTGAACAATCCCAGCTCTCTCTCTTATCTCTGTGAAAAGCTGCCTGTCTAGAGCACAGGCACCTCCTGGAGATCAATGAGCAATTTTCTTTTGGGTTGTAATATGGAACTAGAATTATACCAAAGCCTATTTTGTTTTGAGCTTGCCCTTATAACCTTGTTCAATGACATAAATGAAGCAGGTGCTTTGGGGCCCACCTAAACACCAAAGTCATAAATTCCTGGCAAATATATTTAACGAAGTGTTTTTTCTCTCTGTTAGAAACACTGAATGTCGCTCTTTCCAAAGTCATCAGTTTCACACATTTTCATCTCAACTTTGCATGCTACAGCTGTATTTTTCAATTTCTGTGAAGTATTTGAGGGGAGAATGGTTGTCTGGGAGATTGTGAAAACCTACAGATTTAAAACTCTACAGGAACAAGATTAATAACGAGGACTTTTTATCCTAAAATGTTCGAATGGAGGTACCAGAAGATTATTGATTGCTCAACATCACACACAGAGCTTGGTCCAATTGCATTACTCTCATTTGTTTCATATTTCATTTCTGTACTTCAGTGATTAATTGAGCAATGCTATCATAAATTAGGGGACAAGAAGTTTTCCTTTCATCACAAAAATCTTCAGTTCCATCATTTTTGTAGCCATGTGGAATATAAATACATGCACCCACTGGGGCAGAGGTGGGCTGAGAGCCCAGACAGCATTTTACAAAATGTTACAAGCTTTTGTCTAACTTGCTTTTCTCTTGTTGAAGCGTACTCAAATCTTGGACTTTACTGACTATTGCCTGTATTGAAAATATAGTATCCCAGTTGCACAGACAGCAACCCAAGTTATACTTCTATGTATATTTAAAACATAGAACATAAGCTGTCCCACACTAACAAACATTACTGGTTTCCTTTGTCACTCACTAATTGCTGGAAACAAGGTATGTCGTTTGTTTTAGCAGAAAATGTCTTTTGATCTTGCCTTTGATTCATAAACTGTAGGATGTCACACTAACAAAAAGCTAATGTAAAATGGCCAGCTGCACTCAGGCCTTCTGAAAGCCAAACATCTGATCAAATTATGTTTAACCCCGGGCTCCATTACCAACAGATACAAAAATAAAGATTATGACAATGAGAAAAAAAGAAATGGAGCAATTGAATGGAGTGGTCCCTCACCTTAGTAGATATTTGGATAGGCTAGTCATAGAGTCTTGTCTCATGATTATTTAGAAAAAGACAAAAAGTCATTTACACTTATGAAGGATAAAATACTTGGCTTAGTCTGTAAGACCTGTGAAATGGGCTGTTCTCCAGGTAGGGTTGTAAACTTGAGAACTCACAGATTTGGAAACGCCTGAACAATAGATTTATATGCATTCTTAGCTGCGTCTGGTATATTTGCATTATGGTTTAATCTTTCATTGCATGATCCAAAGGATCCTTGACTCATTCAATCCACTGACAGGATGACGTTCAGCTGATGAGCTGCTATTTGATAACATTTTTTGTTTTAAATTCTGTGTGTGGTCTGAGGATTTATTTATTACATATTTCATATTCTGTCTGTAAACGACAGAATTTATTTTCCTATGTGCATTGCTCTGGCACGCACCACTACAGGATCTGCATGCTCGCATTTATTAATCTAGTTTTGCAACACCTTAGTGACCATTTTCATCTCCATTTTGCAGATGGAGAGCACAGAAATTAATGTCAAACTACATGCATTAATTTGAAAGTATGCGGTGTAGTTTGAAACACCTAGAGCTGACTTCCCAGTGTGCATAGCATCACACAGAATGGACTATGACCAAAGGACAGCACTCCTGGACTTCATTTGTGCGTGTTCTGAAACACTGTCTTATCTGTCTGCAAAACAGATTTCAAGGCCTTGAATGAGATACTTAGAAAAGTGAGGATAAACTGTGACCATCTATGAAAGATATATTAATGACTTCACGAACAGTCCATCTTGGATGTGAAGTTTAGGTGCCTTTACCATGAAGCTACAGAATCACAGAATCGTAGAATAGTTAGGGTTGGAAAGCACCTTAAGATCATCTAGTTCCAAACCCCCTGCCATGGGCAAGGATACCACACACTAAACCATGTCACCCAAGACTTCATCCCACCTGGCCTTGAACACTGCCATTTTTCCTTACTATAGTTCCCTATTTCTTTCTACAGGCATTTTACCACTTCTGCCAGAAATGAGGTAGGAGTTCTGCATCCTTCATTACACAGCTCTTTTGGTGAATGAAAGGGGAAAAAGAAAGAAGTCATGTTTTAATGAAAGACCACCTTAATGCATACATAAAAGGTGTCTGAATTAAGATCCCAAACTTTGAAATGCTTGGAAATGCAGTATCAACTGGTTTTAGCAGAGCTTGCATATACAGTCTGCTGGACTTGAAGGAGGTAAACTAAAAACTAGGTATGTGGCACCTACTACTACCTAACACTGGCAACAGTGTTAGCACCTCTGGATCTGCTGCCTTAGGCCTCTGTCCCTTAAGGTAATGGCATAATTGAAAGAGGTTGGACTGTCAGATTCTGGCCAGAGGAACATGGGACATCTCCCTGCTGGGTGTCATGCTGGGGGTGTCCAGCATGGAAATTACTGATTTAGTTTGGATCTATTGTGTGTTAATGAAGCAAATGTCATGTACACATTTACCATGCTTTGGTTCACATCATGGAGTAGTCTCAGAGTGTATGAACTCCTTTCAACTGAAACAAAGGGAAAAATGCTCTTCAGGATCGCCCTTAGTGAGCTCCAGTCAGTAATGGACATTCAGTCCATGGCATCAGACAACTGCTGGCTGAAGTACTAACTCTCCGAGATGCCCACATTGTGAACTTCAGGTCCTCACCACTTACTATTTACCTCTACAAATTCTCTTACATTGTGCTTCTCTTGTTTTTCATGCAAACAGAGCCAAGGGCACCTGCTGAGAAGAGGAATGATAAGGTTTTGGAAATTTAAGTTCCATTCCAAGCAGAAAAGGGCAGAATATTTACCACCTACTGGCCTTGCTGGTCCATCATTTGTCCAGTCTTTCCAAGTATGACTTCTGTCTTGTTCCTTTCTGGTCTCAGGATTGGCTCCACTCCCCTTTGGCTCATTGTTTCAGCTGTATTCTCCAATTTCCAATTTCCACTACTTCTGCTTCTTACTCTAGTCCCACATTCTTGCCCTGCCAAGTCCAAATTTTAGTCTTCTGTTTAATCCATCCCATTCTGAGTCTCAATTCCAACCCTAGCTGCTTCCCCCCCCAGCAATTCTTCACTTTTTTATTAGTACAGAAGCTCTATTCCCAGCCCTATTGCTCAAATATCTTTCAAACTGTCAGTTGTACCTAGCACCAGGGTTGGGTTCAGTTCAACGTAAAAATCATGTAAATACAGTTACCTGTAGTGTGGTGTTTGCATGTGTAACAGGCATCCAAATTCCCACCACACAGCAAGGAAAGATACACTCAATAAAGCTAGCAGTGTTTAGAAAGCTATTCAGCTGAAACAGTAGGTGTCTACTGTAGGGTGGGGTGAAGCTGCAATTCAGGCTCCACTAAGAACTCAGTTGCCTAAGCTGCCATTTGAGACGCTCTAGATACCTGAGGCATCTGCATGAGACTGGCGGGTATGACAGATTTTATAGGACTTTCTGGCAAAACAGATGGCAGCCAGATGGGGATACTCCACAGTGCCCAAAATTAAACCAGATGTCCATGTTTAAAGGCCAAATTCCGCCTTGACTTCTTCAGTAGATTCCTATTGATTCTCATGGGGTCATCTGCACCTCTAATACCTACTGCACCTGTAGATTCCTACAAGTAAACTAATAAAGCATGATACAGGTGTCCATATATAAATATCTCGTAGTGGTAGTTTAAACAGTTGGACTCGATGATCTTAAGGGTC